CCCAATACTCTTCGCCCACAGCCCACTCTCCCTCCCATTCCTTTTCCTCCTTCTCCACCCCGTCTTCCACCTCCGTCGACGACGACGACGGACGATGGACGACGGGCGACGCACGACGGACGATGAGGACGACGACAACGACGACGGACGATGGACGCCTGACGATGGACGACGGACAACGGACGAGGGACGGCGGACGACAGACGACGGACGACGGACAACGGACGACGGACGACGACGACGACGACGACGACGATGGCGACGACGACGACGACGACGACTACGTCGACCACGGCCCCGACGACGACGACGGACGACGGACGTCGGACGACGGACGACGTCGACGACTAACGGCGGACGACGGACGACGAACGACGACGACGACGACGGATTCAACCGCGGCTACAACAATGACGACGCACGACGGACACCAGACGACAGACGACAACGGCCATGGCGACGGGAACGACGACGAGGACGACAGACGACGGACGACGGCCGCCACGACGACCGCGACGACGACAACGAACGACGGCAGACGACGACAACAACGGACGGCGGACGGCAGACGACGGACGACGGACGGCGACGATGACAACGGCCGCGACGACGACTACGGACGACGACGACGACGACGACGATGGCGACGACGACGACGACGACGACGGACGACGGGCGACGGGCGACGAAAGAGGGACGACGGACGACGGACGACGGACGACGACGACGACTACGACAACGACGGCCGCGACGACGACGGACGACGACGACGACGGGGACGACGACCACGACCAGGACAACAAGGAACAATGGACGACGACGGACGACGACGACGACGGCAATGACGGACGACGGACGACGGACGAGGAACGACGGACGACGGACCACGTACCACGGACGACGGACGACGGCGACGACTTCGACGACGACGACGACGGCCGCGACGGCGCAGACGACAACGACGACGACGACGGACAACGGACGACGACGACGACGACCACGATGACGACGACCACGACGACGACCACGCCGACGACGACGAGGACGACGACGACGACGGACGACGGATATCGGACGACGCACGACGGACGACGGATGACGGACAGCGACGACGCACGACGAGGACGACGACGACGACGACGACGACGGCGACGACGACGTCGACGACGACGGCCGCGACGACGACGAACGACGACGATGACGACGACGAACGACGACGACGACGAGGATGACGACGGCGACGACGACGACGACGGACGACGGACGATGGACGACGGACGACGGACGACGGACGAGCGACGGCGGACGACGGACGACGGACGCCGGACGACGGACGACGACGGACGACGACGACGACGACGACGACGACGACGACGACGACGGCGGCGACGACGACGACGGCCGCGACGACGACGACGACGACGACGACCGCGACAACGACGGACAACGGACGACGACGACGACGATGACTACCACGGACGACGGACAACGGACGACGACTACGGACGAAAACGATGACGACGACGACGCCGTTTGCAGACGACGACGATGACGGCGACCACGACGACGATGACGATGAGGACGACGGGCGTCGGACGACGGACGTCGGACGACGTACGATGGACGACGGACGAGGGACGACGGACAACGGACGATGGACCTCGGACAACGACGACGGAGGACGACAACGACGACGACGACGACGGTTTACGACGACGACGACGGCGACGACGACCGCGACGACGACGGACGACGAGGACGACGATGACGAGGACGACGATCACGACGACGACGACCACGACGACGACGACGGACGACGGACGATGGACGACGGGCAACGGACGACGGACGAGTGACAGTGGAGGACGGTCGACGGATGCCGGACGATGGACGACGACTGACGACGATGACGACGACGACGATGATCACGACGACGACGACGACGACGACGACGACGGCGACGGACGACGACGGCCGCGACGCCGACTACCACGACGACGACTACGTCGAGCGCGACAACGAGGCGCAACGGACGACGAAGACCACGACGACGACGACGACGACGACGGACGACGGACGACTTACGATGGACGATGGACGACGGCTGAAGGACGACGGACTACGGACGACTACGGACGACGACGATGACGAACGACGCCGACGACGACGACGACGACGACGACGGACGACGACGACGACGACGACGATGGGCGACGGACGACGCACGACGGACGACGCACGACGACGGACGATGACGACGACGACGACGACGACGACGACAACGTCGGACGACGACGACGAGGACGACGGACGACGGACAACGGACGAGTGACAGCAGACGACGGTCCACGGACGCCGGACGACGGACGACGACGGACGACGATGACGACGACGACGCTGATGACCACGACGCAACGACGACGACGGCGATGACGGTGACGACGACGACGACGACGACGACGGACGATGGACGACGACGACGACGACGGTCGCGACGACGACTACCACGACGACGACGATGTCGACCGCGACAACGACGGACAACGGACGACGACGACGACGACGATGACGAGGGACGACGACGACGACGACGGACGACGGACGACGGACGACGACGACGGACGACGACGACTTTGACGACGACGACGAGGACGACGGACGACGACGACTACGACGTCTACAATTTAGGACGACTACGACGACGACGACGACGGACGACAACGACGACGACGGACGATGACGTCGACGTCGACGACGACGACGACGACGACGACTAGGGACGACGACGACGGACGACTGACGACGGACGGCAACGACGACGGCGACTTGACGACGACGACGACGAACGATGACGTCGACGACGACTACATCTAGGGACGACTACGACGACAATGACGACGACGACGACGACGACGACGACGACGACGGCCGCGACGACGATGGACGACAACGACGACGACGGACGACGACGACGTCGTCGTCTACGACGACGACGACGACTAGGGACTACGACGACGACGACGACGATCACGACGACGACGACGGACGACGGACGATGGACGACGGACTCGTGGCGGCGGACGACGGACGAGGGACAACCGACTACCCGACTGTCGACGATGGCGACCTTCCGCGGCGACAGGGGCGGGCCCCCCCTGGCGCGAGGTCGGCATATGGGAAGGGCCAGCAGCAGGCGGTCACGAACCTGCTCACGGACTGGGCCGCGGACCAGGCCGCTCCCGCCGCCCCCCGTCGCCGCCGTCGACCTCGTCGGGGAGGGGGGGAGAAGGGAGGAGGAGGGGGGAGGAGGGGGGGGAGAGGTTTGCAGCCGCGGCGTTTGCTGCCGCGGCGTGGTCGGACAGGGAACCATTCCCCAAAGCCCGCGGGTCCCCCCCGTGCGACGGGGGCAAGGACCCACTCGGATGCCCCCAAGCAGGAGGGGGGGTGGAGGATAGAGGAGGGGGGAGGAGGGATAACCATGTAGAGGTCCGCGAGGATTTGCTGGATCGGCGCTGGGCCCCCTCCTCTTACGCGCGGAGGGCGTCAGGGGCGACGCCGGAGGCGCCGCCAGGCAGGTTCATCGCCGATCTCAGAAAGCCGCGCGGATTGCCGACGATCTCTTCGATTGTTACTGGCTAGTCTCATGTCTCTTTTCGTGCACAGGTCGGAGGGGGGGGCTCATGGCCCCCCGCCGTCCGGCTGGGGCTGCCATCTCGAAGTAGCCCGATGCCTCGTTCGGCGCCGGTGGCGTGGGCGCCCAGGACGGTGGGCGTGCAAGAGTACGTGGTCAAGGGACCCCCACGTCCGCAGAGTGCCGACCTGGCCTTCCAGTGCCATTGCTGCCTCCGCATCGTGCGTCCTTAGGTGCACGGGTGGATTGTAGGAGGCCCTCGTTCCATGGTCTTCGAAAGCCGTCGGCGTGGATCAGGGCGGCGGGCGTCCAGGAGAGCATCGGGCATTTGGTTGCCGGGCCCCTGGCACTCCCACTCCGCTGATGTGCTCGCAGGCCTCTGGGAGGGACGGGCGCCCAAGATGGAGATCGGCGGCCAGCGGGAGAGGGAAGGGAGAAGGAGGAGACCCACTCAGAAGGCGGAGGGCGCTTCTCAGAAGCCTTCTGGCCTGTGAGAAGTGTTCTTGTGCCTTCGGTGGGGGGCTCAGAAAACTCGTCAGAAGGCTGGGAAACTTCCGAGCCTCCTGAGAAGGCCCGCCCCTTCTCGGATGCCTTGTGGTTTGGGGGTCATCACTCGGCTCTCTATAGCGTCCGCTCGGGACGCTCCGGGCACCCACGGAACGCCCTCGCAGAGGCGAAGCCGCTGGAACTGATCCCGAGACCGGGAAACCGCCGAGACCGGGAACCGCCCTCCTCCTCCTCCTCCTCCTCCTCCTCCTCCTCCTCCTCCTCCTCCTCCTCCTCCTCCTCCTCCTCCCCCCTCCGCGCCCCCCCCCCGCACGAGGCGCGCCGCCCGGGAGAGGGAGGCCGGGAGGCCCTGGCCTTGGGCAGCCAGTGGCGTCCCCTGGTCCAGTGGCGTCGGTGCCCGGCATGGATAAAACGACGCGAAGATCGGGGCAAAATCGGATCGGGATAACTCGAAATCTCTGAGAATCGGCGGGTTTGGAGGATGTATTGGGCGCCGCGGCCGCTCTGAGAGCGCTCCGGAACGCTCTGGAGCGATTTATCCCGATCCTAGCCCTGTTTTAATGGAGGTGCGTTCTCGCACCCTGCTGGAATTCGAGCGAGCCCTGAGATCCTGACGTTGCCATCTTCTCACAGCGGGCGTGTTCGCTCCATTTCGGGCCCCCTGGTCGCCTCAGAAATCGATGCGTCTCGGAAAGTGACGCAGAAAGATGGGATCCGGGACTCCAGTGGTGTTTTTTTGATGTTGCGAAATTGTTTCGTAACGTCGGATCTCAGGGAACGTCTGGCCGTGGATACTTTCGCTGGCATGTCATGGCTCCCGCACCGTCGCTGATCGCAAGGTCGGTCAGACAGGACTCCGGATCGCTTCTAACGTTTTTGTTGTTTGTTATCGGCCTCGTCTTCCGCGTCGCGTTCACCTAGCCAGTTTGGCTCAAGCTCTTTTTCCATCCGCGCCAGCTCTCTGGTTCGGGTAAGCAGCTGGTCTGCATGTTGCTTCCGTCTTGTTTTCAGATGGGTGCCATTCCACAGCACGCTTTCCTGGCCAGTGCAAAGTGGTTCGCAGAGGATGTTGTCAGGATTGGGCCTCTGAGTTTAGGTGCCCCAGCATTAACCGCCCTCATTTTGCTCCTTAGCCCGATGGTGGAGGTCGTTCCAAGGATCCGTCGCCAGCAGAATGTTGGAAGGTTGCCGATGCTTCCGTATACTGCAATGACCTGCGGTGGTATATTTTGGTCCGTGTACGCTGTGATCAAGGGAATCACGCCAGTGCTGATTGTCAACACAGTCCAGATTCACGAGTCCTGCGCCGCATGATCCGACCCTGTCAATTCGATTGCTCGTGTGATGCATTGTGGTTGGGGGCCTGGGGGCTCCTGGGTCGCCTGGGGAGCCCTGCAAAGGTCTTTGGATTATCTTAGGGAGGATCGGCGGTCGCGGGGCGGGGCGGGGCGCAGGTGGGTCGCGAAGCTGGGCCAGCAACGAGAAGAGAGACATGGATCTGCGCCGCGGAACCGCATTTTAGCCACGCACCCAGGGACAATGTAAGACCACTCGGTCCTCTTACCCTGAAGCTTGCGTCTATTCGGCGGCGAGCCTGGCGGGGAAGTAAGAAGGGGCGGGCCTTCTCAGAAGGCTCGGCAGTTCTCGGACCTTCCGAGAGGTTCCCCGATTCCCCGAAGACACCAGAAACCTCTCACAGAAGGCAGGGGGGCTTCTGAGAAGCCCCGCCGCCTTCTGAGAAGGCCTCCTCCTCCTCCTCCTCGTCCTCCTCCTCCTCCTCCTCCTCCTCCTCCTCCTCCTTCTCCTCCTCCCAGTCTCGCTGGCCGCCGATCTGTGGGAGATCCCGGCACCCGGGTGCCGGGCCGCGACCTCCTTGGTACACAGGGTGGCACACCGTGCCCCTGCGGCGCTTCCGGCAGCCCCCCCCCGGGGGGCTCCGAGAAGGCCCGAGGGCGCTCGAGGATCACCCGAGAGGGGGGATGTTTAAGTCGGGCCTGTCCCTCTACAGGAGGAATGTCCAAGACTAGGGCCCAAGATGGGCCCATGACGGTTCAAGAGGGCTCCAAGAGGGTCCCCAGAGAGGCTCACGACGGCCCAAGAGGGCCCCCGAAGTGGCACAAGACGGCCCAAGAGATCCAAGAGAGCAGGAGGGAGACCCCAGACGGACCCAAGAAGCCCCGAGAGGGCTCCTGAGACAGCTGAAGAGGCCCCCAAACCCACCCCCAAACGGCACAGAGAGATCTCCAATATTACTCTAGAGGCCCCCATCACGGTTCTAAGACGGCTCCAAAACAGCCCAGATACGGTTGAAGGTGGCTTGGAAGCTGTTCGATCATGTGATAATGCCCCGAGAAAGCCAGTCTGATCGAATTTGAGACCCTCTTGTCATGCGAACTTCTTGGGTTCGGCTAGAACCTAATCACGCGCGCAGCGCTCGCGGGTGGTTTTACTGAACGTAGTAGACATATACGTATAGATACATATATCCTTATTCTTATACTCTTATGACCCAGAACCCCCCCACCACCACCCACCCTAAACCAGACCCCCCCCAGGACACCCCAGACGCCCCTGCCCTCCACCCATCGAACGCCCTGGACGCCCTTTCGGAGTCCCAGCGGCCTTCGTGCAGTTGGACGCCCCTGCCGATCGAAGCCCATGGGCCCAAAACGGGCCCTAAGACGGCCCATCAGCGCTCAAAGAGGACCCACTATGGTTTCAAGACGGCCCACGAGGTCCCCAAGACGATCCAAGAGGCCCCAAAAGGGACCCGCAAAAGCCAAAAATCGTCTCATTCCCTGAGGAAACGTACGCTTTTGAAGATATTCGCTTGTTCCGCTTTCACAGCGTCCATGGCATCCCCAGAGACATTCAAGATCGCCCCAGGACGGCCTCCGAGGCCTCTATAAGCGGCCCAAGGCGGCCCAAAAGAACTTCAAGACAGATCAAGAGAAGCCCAAGGCGGCCCAAGAGGGGCCCCAGAGGGCCCCGAAAACTCCCAAGAGAGCCCCAAGAGAGCCACAGGAGGCCCCCTAGAGTGTCCCAAGAGGGCCCCGGAAAAGCCCCCGGCCCAGTCTCCCAAAATGGCCAAAAGAGGGTTCAGAGACAGCCCAAGAGGGCTCCAAGACGGCTCAAAACCTCTCAAAAGGAGTCTTGTGGTCCGGAGAGTCACCAGGAGCTCAAACGCGAGCCCACACCATTCCAATATAGCTTCCAGCAGCTCTCTTACACTCCACGAGGCCGTAGTTCGCAGGGCGGTGGTTCGAAAGGACTTCAGAAGCCCCACAAGGGTCCAGGACCCCTCCAGGCATTCAGGAAACGACCAATCGTCGTCGCCGCCGTCGTCGTCGTCGTCGTCGTCGTCGTCGTCGTCGTCGTCGTCCTACGGAGGAGCAGGAGGTCTCGGCCTGTCATCGCGGGCTGCCGCCTCATTATTGCGTAGCCCGCTTACTGACGCGGGAGCGGCCTGCCCGAGAGGAGGAGCTGGAGGAGGAGGAGGAGGAGGAGGAGGAGGAGGAGGAGGAGGACGACGACGAGGAAGGGCCAAGTTTCTGAGCGCTTCTGGTCCCATCTGGAGCTTCCAGAGGCCCTCGAGAGACGAGCGCCCCATCTGCAGTTCAGACGAGAGTCCCATCATCGTCGTCGTCGTCGGCGTCGTCGTCGTCGTCGTGTTGGCGGTTGTGGTGGTGGTGCTGGTGGTGGTGGTCCTCGCGATCGTGGTCGCATTCGTCGTTTCGACGCCCCCCCTGCTGAAACACGCGCGATGACTGGTTGTTTGTCCGAGAAGCGTCCGGAACAAGGCGAATGGCGCGAAGCGCCAATGCACTCTTGTATAGATATAAGAATAATATGCATAAATGGATATGCCTGTAGGCAGGCGTGTGTACGTGTATGAGTGTGTATGCGCATATGGGTGTCAATGCATGGATGTAATTGTGTATACACATAGGGGTGTAACTATATGGGTGCATGTATGTAGTATGCATGCATGCATGCATGCATGCATGCATGCATGTAAACATGTATGTGTATATGCGGGTATGTATGTATGAAAGAGCGTGTTCTACCGCTGCTGGCGGAAAACCGGGGGGGGGTCACTACCGGTTCGAACCCCTCCCCCCCCCCCTCCGGAAAACCGGGGGGGGTCACTACCGGTTCGAACCCCTCCCCCCCCCCCCCCCAGCTCATCATGAAAAGGGGGGGGGGGTCACTACCGGTTCGAACCCCTCCCCCCCCCCCCCCCCCCCCCTCCGGATCCGGAAAACCGGGGGGGGTCACTACCGGTTCGAACCCCCCCCCCTCGAAAACCGAGTGGGGTGTGCGGACAGTGGTGGGGACAGTGGTGAGGGGATAGCGGGACAGTGGTGGGGACAGTGGGACAGTGGGACAGTGGTGGGGACGGTAGTGGTGGGGACAGACAATGGTGGGGACAATGGTGGGAATAGGGGGGGACAGTGGACAGTGGTGGTGACAGTGGTGGTGGGGACAGTGGTGTGGGGACAATGGAAATGAGGTGGAAACAGTGGGACAGTGGAGGGTACAATGGTGGTGGGGACAGTGGTGAAGGCGGTGGCGAGGACGGCGGTGGGACAATGTACAGTGGGGACAGTGGTGGGGACAGTGGGGACAGTGGTGGGAACAGTGGGACAGCTCAGTGGGACAGCGGAAGAGTCAGTGGGACAGTGGGGACAGTGAGGATAGTCGGGCAATGGTTGGGGCCGTGGAGACAGTGGAGAGAGTGGAACCGTGGTGGGAACAGTTCTGGGGACAGCGGGGACAGTGCGACAGTGGTAGGGCCACTGGTGGGGACAGTAGGGGCGGTGGTGGAACCAGTGGGGACAGCGGTGGTAAGGACAGTGGTGCTGGGAACACCAGTGGGGGATGTGATGCGGACGGTGGTGGGGACCGGGAGTCGTTTGCTGGCGGTGAGTAGAGGGGGGGGGGGGGGGGGGGGGTCGAACCGGTAGTGACCCCCCCGGTTTTCCGGATCCGGAGGGGGGGGGGGGGGGGAGGGGTTCGAACCGGTAGTGACCCCCCCGGTTTTCGAGCGGGAGGGGGGGGGGGGGGGGGAGGGGAGGGGTTAGGGGAGGGGGGTTTTGCCGGGGGGAAGGGGGGGGGGAGGGGTTCAGCAGGGGGGGGGGGGATTTTCGGAGGGGGGGGGGGGGGGGGGGCGACCCCCGGGTTCCAGAGGAAAAGGTTGGCAATTTTCCATAGTAAAGCGGCGGTGGATCACGCTCTCTCGTATGTATGCATGCATGCATGCATGCATGCATGCTTACAGTGTGATTGCTTGATTGCTTGTATGTATGTATGTGTGCGCAAGTGTGTAATGCATGTATGCCTGTATGCACGCATGCATGGAATGCGTCTATGTGTATGTATGTATGGATGCGTGCACGCATGTGTGTATGAATGTGTGCATGCATGTATGCATGTATGTACGTATGCATGTATGCATGTGTGCATGTATGTTTGTATGTATGTATGTATGTATGTATGTATGTATGTATGTATGTGTGTATGGATGCCTGTATGTGTGTATGTCTGTATGTATGAAAGAGCGCGTTCTGTGGTCGCTTGGAGAGGGGGGGGTGGAACGTGACGGAGGAGGGGTGGGGGGGTGCGAACCCCCCCACCCACCCCCGTGCTTACCCTCTCCTCGGGCCGGCGCTGCGCTCGGGTCGGCGGCGGCTGGCGACGGCGGCGGGAACAACGATTTCCATTTCTTGGCCAGCGCCGGCGCCTGCGGCGGCGGGCGGCGGTGGCGGGGAGCGTCGGCGAAGACGACGGTGGTGGTGGTGGTGGTGGGTTGAGGTGGTGGTGGCGGTGGTGGTGGTTGCGGTGGTGGTGGTGTGGTGGTTTGTGGTGGTGGTGGTTGTGGTGGTTGTGGTGGTCTGGTGGTGGTGTGGTGGTGGTTTGTGGTGGTGGTGGTGGTGCGTTGTGTCGGTGGTGATGGTGGTTTGGTGGTAGTGTGGTGGGTTGTGGTTGTGGCGGTGGTTTGTGCAGGTGCTGTTTGTGTTGGTGGTGGTGGTGGTGGTGTGGAGGTTTGTGGTGGTGGTGGTGGTGGTGGTGGTGGGTTGTGCTGATGGTAGTGGTGGTGGTTGTGGCGGTGGTGCTGGTGGTGTGGTAGATTGTTGTGGTGGTGGTAGTGGTGGTTGGTTTTTGTGGTGGTGGTGGTGATGGTGAGTTGTGGTGGTGGTGGTTGTGGTGGTGTGGTGGTGGTTTGTGGTGGTGGTGGTGGGTTGTGGTGGTGGCGGTGGTTTGTAGACGTATGTTGTGGTGGTGGTGGTGGCGGTGGTGGTGGTGGTGTGGTGGTTTGTGGTGGTGGCGGTGGGTTGTGCTACTGGTAGTGGTGGTGGTTGTGGCGGTGGTGGTGGTGTGGTAGACTGTGGAGGTGGTGGTGGTAGTGGTGGTAGGTTTTTGTGGTGGTGGTGGTGATGGTGAGTTGCCGTGGTGGTTATGGTGGTGGTGGCTGTGGTGGTGGTGGTTGTGTGATGCTGTTGGTGGTGGTGGTGGTTTGTGGTGGTGCTGGGTTGAGGCGGTGGTGGTGGTGGTGGTAGTGGTGGTGGTGGTAGTGGTGGTAGTCGTCGCTGCGTCCCCGCCGTCGCAGGCGCCAGCGCCGGCGCTGCTGGCCGCCGCCGGCGCCGGCGCCGAGGGGGGGAGGTGTTCGAACCCCTCCCCCCCCTTGGGAGTGGGGGTGGGGGTTGAACTCCCCCCCCCTCTGGGCTGCCTCTGGTTATCGTCGCTGCGTCCCCGCCGTGGGCGCTGCTGGCGGCCGCCAGCGCCGGCGCCGGCGCAGAGGGGGGGGGTTGAACCCCCCCCCCTTGGGAGGGGGGGGGGGGGGTTCGGGAGGCGGGGATTTGAGGGGAGGGGAGTCCCCCTGCATGGTTTTGATCGACGGCGCCGAGTGTTGGGGGGGGGGCCATGCCCCGGTATCACACGCGCCGCCGGATGTTCCCAAGGCAAGCGCGCGTGAAACGCGTTCTCTCGTATGTATGTGTGTGTGTATGTATGTATGGCTTGCTATAGGCATGCTCTCATATTTGTGACTATAAGCATAGTCTGAATGTGTTCGAGTGTGTGGTATTGTGTCGTGTACGTACAAGTATTCATGTATACGTGCATGCTTGTGTACACATGTATGTATACGCAGTGATGCGTCCATACAAGCCTCGTCGGAGGTTGGGGGGTGAGATCGAAGTGGAACGGAGAGCCCCCCACCGGGAAATCGGTTTCGGTTTCGTGTTCGTGCGTGCCGTGCGTGCGGGCGAGGCGAAGCTGCGTGGGCCGGCGAGAGGAAAGTCTCCTGTGGCTGAGGCGCGGCCAGACCAAATGATTCTCCCTCCGGCAAGCGGTGGCCCGCGGTGTCCCGCCGGTGTCCCGCTTGTGGCTGGGTCCCGGCCGGACCAAATGATTCTCCCTCCGGCAAGCGGTGGCCCGCGGTGTCCCGCCGGTGTCCCGCCGGTGTCCCGGTGTCCCGCTGGTGCGAAAGCGATAGTGAGACCAATGACGAAAGCGATTGTGAGACCCATAGTGAGATCGATAGTGAGACCGATAGTGAGATCGATCGTAAGATCGATAGTGCGATCGATAGTGAGATGAATAGTTATCGATTGTGAGATAGAGTGATATCGATAGGGAGATCGATCGTGGGATCGATTGCGAGATCCAGAGTGAAATCGAAAGTAAAGATCGATCGAGACAGATCGGTAGTGAGATCGATCGAGTGAGATCGATAGTGGGGTCGATGGTCCCAAGAGCGAGCGGCAACGCAACAATCACCACTGTTGCCCATTGCTGGCCCCCCTCCCCCCCAACCTCCTTATCACCCGCAGGGTGGTCGTATAAGTCTATCTCTATTAGCGCTGAATGTGTGTATATATACGAATATATTATGTATACATGAATTGTTGGGTTCACCCCTCTGCGTTGGCTGCCTGGGGCCTCGTGGGTCGTCCTGCCCGTTTCACTGTCTCTCCTGGACCTTCTTGCAAGCACCTTGCGGGGCAGCCTGGACATGTCTGGTGAGACCTGGGCCCCTCTGGAGTTCGTGCCCCCGCCCCCTCCTCCACTGGAATGTGTTGAGGCATGGCGAGGGCGGCTGGGCGGGGGATGGACCCGCACACGCCTGGCACCCCAGATGGGGTCTGCCGATAATATTGGGAACGTACTATTGCTGGGTGTTTGGGAGGTACTGCCCCGAAGCCGCCGATTGGCTGCCCTGGACCTTAAAGGCGCACCTCAGGGCCCTGGCCCTGGCTCCGGTCGCCTGCGCCACGGTGCTCGCCGCGTGCTCACGACGAGTGCTTCTCCTGCTGGGGCTGTGCGGCAATCTGGCCAACATCCTCATGTTTGCGGGCCCCCTCGCCGCCGTGGGCACCGTGATCCGGGAACGGAGCACCAGGGCGCTGCCCCTCGGCTTCACCTGCGTGGTGGTGGTGAACGGCGGGCTCTGGACGGCCTACGCGGCCCTGCTCCTGGGCGACTACATGGTGCTCGTGCCTAACCTCATCGGCTTCCTCCTGGGGCTCGTGCAGCTGTCGCTGTTCCTCCGCTACGGCGTAGACAGGGGCGCGGCGCCCGGCCAAGATGCCGCTGGTCATGCAGGCAGCCCACCCGCGTGCAGCGAGGCCGACGACGAGGACGGCGCGAGGTCGCGGGCTCGGGCCCGGCTGGCTCACACCGCGCAGATCGAGTGCAAGAGCAGCATCCGACGCAAGCGGGGTGGCGGACAGGTGCTGTGCGGCGTGTCCTGGGCGCTGCTCGGTGCCCTTCAGCGTCCGCGTGTGCCGCACGGCGGCCACGTTCGGCGTCATCTGGGACGCCTCGGGGACGTGGGCAAGGAGCGGTATCGAGACGCTCCCGTCCAGCGTGTTTGGAGTTTGGCTGCTCGGGGCAGGACGGCGGTGCAGCCCCTCCCACAGAGGGCCTCTCGATGATGTCTCCCGTCCTGCCCCTCCCTCCTCCTCCTCCTCCTACTGCTCCCGGGCATGAGGGTGCCTGGTGGCACCAGGAGCGTGTGGGAACTATCCGTGGACGTGTTGTCGCGAGAAGGGTGGCGCATGCCAGTAGTGAGATCAAGAACGGGGAGACCAGTCAAGCCGAAGCTTGGGTCAGACCGAGGAGCCTACAACAGTGACTCTATTGGAACCAGCTTTGCGGAGCTTAATTGAGGCATACTGGGGCTCACTGAGGGCATCTTTGCAGTTCGGAGCCCCCTTGTGGCTCTGTGGGGGCCCTTTGAGCACCCTTCGGGGCCCTCTTGAGGTCCTGGAAGGTCCTCAGCCCAAGACGGCGGCTTCGATCAGCGCCCCCTTTCTGGAGCCCGAGAAGATCGCCTTCGGGGGGGGGCTCTCTTGTGGCGTTGCTGGGGTGCTCTTACGCGGTTGGGGGCCATCTCGGTGCCCTTCTAAGCCCTTCTGGGGGCTCTCTTGGGCATCCTGGGGCCAGCTTGAGGCACTGGAGGCACTGCAGGCACATCCGAAGAGAAAGGGGAGAATGCCAACAGCAGTGGCGAATCCCGTCCCCCCCCCGGTGTCGGCATATTTGTTGGGAGGCCCCGTGGCCACCTTGAGCCGCATTGGGGGCCTCCCTGAAGCTTAGAGACTCTTGAGCGGCCTCGGAGCCATCAAGGGCCATCTTGAACGCGTCGCCCCTCCCGTCCAGGCCACCCAAAAAGCGAACCCAGAGATCGGAAGAGATTGCCTTCTTCCGTACGGGGTACCCAGAAGTCCCGCCGACCTCTTCCCCGGGGCCCGTGTTGCCTCCAGAGTCGTTTTTGCTACGGCCCTGGGGGCCCGGGGAGGGCCCCCGTGGAATCCCGAGCATTGTGAAGAGCGTCCGTGCTGTTCTTCGCGATGTGCCGGAGGTCGGGGAGCTGATCCCCCGACGCCAGAGGAGGAGGAGAAGGAGGAGGAGGAGGAGGAGGAGGAGGAGGAAGAGGAGGAGGGGGAGGGGGGAGGATGAGGAGGAGCAGGAAAGGAGGAGGGGGAGGGCGAGGAGGAGGAGGAGGAGTCAGCGGAGGAGGAGGAGGAGGAGGCGGAGGAGGAGGAAGGAGGGGAGGCGGGAGTGGGAGGGGGAGGAGGGGGAGGAGGCGGAGGGAGGCGGAGGAGGAGGAGGAGGAGGAGGTCCCCAAGTTGATCCCTGTGGAAGCGCTCCTCCTGCAGGCCCCTCGGGCCTGATAGCGGCCACCCGTGAGCTCTTCGCCCGGCTCGATCTGCGGACGGACCTCTCCTTCCTCCTTCTCCTCTTCCTCCTCCTCCTCCTCCTCCGCCTCCTCCCCCTTCTCCTCCTCCTCCTCCTCCTCCTCCTCCTCCTCCTCCTCCTCCTCCTCCTCCTCCTTTCCCCTCCTCCTCTGAGGAAGGGGACGGAGGAGAAATACAAGCGAGGAGGAGAAAACTGGTGGCGGGGGAGGACGAGGACGAGGAGGACGCCGATGGGGCAGGGGTCGGGAGGGGGGGAGTACGAGGGGGAGGGAGGATTTGAAGGGGGAGAGGGAGGATGAATGGGAGAGAATGAGGAGGCGTTTGGAAGAGGAGGAGCGATGAAGAGGGAGGAGGAAAACGATGAGGACAGAAGGAGGGCTAGGGGGAGGCCTGATAATGGAGAATGAGGGGGAGGAGGAGGATCGGGAGGAGGAGGAGGAGGAGGAGGAGGAGGAGGAGGAGGAGGAGGAGGAGGAGAGGGCTACGGAGGAGGGAGGAGGGGGGGTCTCCTTCTCCTCCCGACTTCCGCTCTCCTGGCCTCAGCACTCGGAGACAACGGCTCCGAGACTGCCTCTGGACTTCTTTGAAGGTCGGCGCTCGGCATGGACGAGCACCCAGAACTCGTGTGAAGTATATATCCGAATTTAAGCCAACTTATTCAGAGGCCAGGGCGACAGGGGGGGTGCATCGACCCCGAATCGCCCATTAATCGCCACTATCTGCTGACCTACGCCGCCCAGGACCGTGCAATTTCGCTATGGGAGGCCTGTCGCCAATCTATCGGGGATGTAGCGGTCATTCGAGTTCGATGTTTCTCCCCCCTCCCCCCTGAGCGGGCCACATCCAATAACGCACGGTATCCCACAAAGCGCATCCTGATGAGCACAGGACCCCGTGTTGCCTGGCACGCGGAGGCGTACAGCCGCGGTGCCCTCCAGAGCAGCACATGGGGCACCCTCCGCTGTCTTCGGCGAGGATTTTTGCTGGCCTGGAAGGCACTTCCGGGTCCCCGCGTTTTTGCGGGTAGAGACTGAGACCCAAACGCGTTTGTTTTAGATGTCGCTAAACACATCATGGTGCAAACGGGTCCTCAAGGAAACCGGTCTTTCTTGTTTAGGCAAGTTCTTGCCTCAGGATTTCAAATTGGGATCTTCTCCAGCAAACGGGCCCTGGGAGTGTCAAAATACGACTCAGGATGAGAATTGGTCCAGGGGGAAGCCCACGGGGTCCAGGACATGTTTCCTCCAGGACCCGCTTCTTGCGTACCGAAAAGACCCGTCGATCAATTGTCGTTCGCTCGTTCTGTCCATTTGCCTCTTTCTTCTCCGCCTGCCCCCCACTGGCCCTCGGTCTCTTCGCCTCTCCCTCCACCCCTTGCGCCTCCCGTTGTGATCACCCCTTGGCCCTGCCGATCCTCGCTCCTACTCCCCCTCCCCCGTCCTCTCAGTTCCCCCTCCCCCTCGTCCTTCTCTGCCTCTCCGTCGTTGCCCTCCCTCGAACGAAGGATTGCAAAAAAACCCGAAGGATTTCAAAAAAACCTTCGTAGGATTGCAAACAAACAAGGGTTTGTTTTTGCAATCCTTGGTTTTTTTGCAATCCTTTGGGTTTTTTTTGTTTTGCAATCCTGGGCCCAGGAGCTGGCAGGGGACGTTCTGGGTGGCAGTTGAGTGCGCCCCCCCGGCCCCGCCACGTCTCCAGGCGGGCGGCGCATGTGAAGGGAGCTCCTCCCCCAGCACCGGCACAGTCCACCTCGGTGCAAGCCGCGCATGCGTGAGCGATCTCCTGTGGCCGCAAGCATCGGGGGAGCGTAAGACCCGGGTTTGCCGGGACTCGGGTTCGCCATCGTTTTTTGACGACCGCGACTCGGATTTTGACGAGGAGGAGTTTCGTGGGATGTTTGCAGCGGGAGGCCTCGTCAAAATGCAGGCTCGGCCTCGTCATTTTTTTGACGACCTCGTCGGGGATTTCCGAGTCCCCCGTACCCGGGTCTTACGTCTCCCCGAAAGCATCAGGGAAGAACCAGAAACCACAGTCATTGAGAAAGCATCGGAGGGGGGGTTCTCCCCCGATGGGTTCTCAGTGATGGTGGCCTCTGTTGACCAGACCCCACGACGTCAGGTTTGTCTCCAACCCTCCCTTGATTGGGTTCTCGTTTTGAGCAGAGCACCGTGGTCTCCGTCGATCACTCACTCCTCCCCCCTCCTCCTTCCTCCATCCCTTCTCCTCCTCCTCATTTTCGTCTTCCTTGTCCCACGGGGACCACCATGAGACCTCGCCGTCCCTGTTGGGCTGCGATCTGCGAAACTGTCGCCGCTTTTGCGGGCTCCTGGGAGGTCCAGCTCAGAGGTGTCCCACGGGGACCACCATGAGACTTTTCGTAGGCTCCTGGGAGGCCCAGTGGAGGGGTGTCCCACGGGGACCACTATGAGATCTCGCCGTCTTAGGGGGGCTACGATCTGTGAAACTGTCGCCACTTTCGTTGGCTCCTGGGACGTCCAGCGGAGGGGTGTCCCACACGAGGACCACCATGAAACCTCGCCGTCCCTGGGGGGCTGCGATCTGCGAAACTGTCGCCACCGTCGCGGGCTCTTCGGAGGTACAGCGGAGGGGTGTCCCACGGAGACCACCATGAGACCTCGCCGTCCCTGAGGGGCTGCGATCTGCGAAACTGTCGCCACTTTCGTGAGTTCCTGGGAGGTCCAGCGGATGGGTGTCCAGCGGGGACCACCATGAGACATCGCCGTCCCTCGGGGGCTGCGATCTGCGACGTGCGGAAAGTTGCGTGCAGCTCGCTGCAGACGTTCAGTACTCCAAGAGCTGCTCGGCCCTAGCCAGCGAGCCCCCCGCGGAGGTCACCCCAGACGTCGTCGAACAGATGCGCCGGAAGCACCCGCCCCGCCGCCAAGCAGTGGACCCTGCCAGCCTCCCGGCTGTCCACGCGGCTGCCGCCCTACAGGTGGACGGGGACGCGGTCCGGAGGGAGGTGCGGGCCTTCCCCCGGGGCTCGGCTGCGGGGCCGACGGGCTTCCGACCCCAACACCTCAAAGACGCGCTGCTCACCGCGGCCCACAGGGACGAGGTCACGGACCAGCTTCGGAACCTGGTTAACCTCTGCGCCAGGGGGCAGGCCCCGCCGGCCGTCCCCAAGTACTTCGCAGGAGCCTCTCTGGTGGCCCTGCCCAAGAAAGACGGAGGCCTACGCCCACTGGCCGTCGGGGAGGTGCTCTGGCGCCTCGTCGGCAAGTGCCTCTGCCACGAGGTGGCCGACGCCGCGCGCGACCGACTGGCGCGCCTCCAGATCGGCGCTGCGGCCCCGGGCGGCGCGGAAGCGGCCGTGCGCCAGTGGACCCGCCACCTCGGTGACCGGAGGAAGGTATTCGTGAAGCTGGATTTGTCCAGCGCCTTCAACACGCTGGACCGGCAGGCCCTGCTCCGCGCTGTCTACGAAGAGCTCCCCGCGCTGGCACCCTGGGCCGACTGGTGCTACTCCCGCCCGTCGATTCTCTTCCTGGGCAAGAAGACCGTCGACTCCGAGAGCGGGGTGCAGCAGGGGGACCCCCTAGGGCCTTTGCTGCGTTCTCTTGCCATCCAGCGCGCCGCCGAGGCCGCCCTGCGCGCGCCGCGAGACGACACCGACGGCGTCTTCGACCTGAGCTTCTTCTACTTGGACGATGGCTGCCTCGCGGGCGACGCGCCAGCCGTCGCCCGCCCCCTCCGCTTGCTCGTGGCCGAGCTCGCCGCGGTGGGCCTCCAGCTGAGCACCGGCCCGGGCAAGTGCGAGGTTGTCCCTACTGGCGGAGACGCTTCCGACGTGTCTCTGGACGGCTTCCCAGAGGGGTTCCGCCTCCGCACCGATCGCAGCTTTGAGCTGCTCGGCGCGCCAATAGGGGGCGCTGACTTTTCCGCGGGGCACGCGAGGCAGCGGGTTGCTGACGCCGCCGCTCTGCTCGAGGCTCTGGGGGCGCCCGAAAACGCACAGGTCGCGCTGCGCCTCCTGCGGCAGTGCGCTTCTTTTTGCAAGCTGGGCTACTCCGCGCGCGCGGTGCCGCCCACCGCGCACGCCGCCTCCTTGGTGGCCATGGGCGACGCTGTCCGGGCTTGCCTGGAGCAACAAAGCGGCTGCTCTCCCTCCGACGCCTCCTGGCGGCAGGCTCAGCTCGAGCTCGACAAGGGAGGGCTCGGCCTGCGCTCCGCCGCGCAGCACGCCGCCGCCGCCAGACCTCTGCAAGCGGCTCTACCCCGGCTACTTCAACAGCGCTGACCACGACGGAGGTAGCCTGGCGGCGGCCGCGCAGGCCCACAACGCAGTCGCGCGGGACGCCGACGAGGCGGTGTTCGACCACGCCCAGCACAGCAGCCAGAAAGCCCTCTCCGACGCGGTGGACAGCGCCACGCTCGAAGGGCTCCTGGCGGGCGCCGCCGCGTGGCTCCAGGCGCCGCCCTGCGAGGCCGCCGGCACCTCCTTCCCGCGCGCGCGGTCTCATGCAGGTCGGCCTGCAGAGGCGGCTGCGAGTCCAGCTCTTGATGGAGGAGTGCTTTTGCCCAGCCCGTGGCGAGGTGATGGATGTCTACTGCGACCACGCCTTGGGCTGCGCCTGCCGCGGCGACAGGACCGCGCGCCACCGCCCTGTGCAACCAGGCCTTTTAAGACGCCCTGGCCGCTGGCCACGCCGGGGCTGAGTTGGAGCGCCCAGGGCTGCTCCCCGCGCTCCCCGCCGGGGAGGCCACCCCTGGGGGCGAGCAGGGCGGATCCCAAATGGGCGACAACGGCCGCCGCCCCGCCGACGTCTACCAGCCGAGGTGGCGCAACGGCGGGCGGCCGCCTGGGATGTTGCCGCCGCGTCCGGGTTGCGCGCCGATCCCCTCGCCGCGTCGGCCGCGTCGCCCACGCCGACGGAACGATGCGAGGAGTTCAAGAGGCAGCGCCAGGACACCGCGCGGCTGTGCGCGGAGCAGGGCCCCACCTTCATCCCCATGGCGGTGGAGGCCCATGGCGGCGGGCGGGGCCGCGAAGCGCGCGGGGCCTTCGGGGTCCTGGCCAAGCGGGTGGCTGACGCCACGGGGGAAGACGCCGCTCTGGTAGCGGACAAACACGCCCAGCGACTCTCCGTCTCCCTGCACAGGGAGAACGCGCGGGCGGTGTTGCGGCGCCTCCAGACACAGTCTGGAGGGGCGGGAGTGGTCGCGGCCCGCCTGGCCGCGGCCACGGCAGCCTCCACGGCGGACGCCGTGCACGTGAGCGCCGCCGGGCGATGCTGAACGCCCCTTTGCCCGCTCCCCCCGCCCTGGCTGGGCAGCGCGGGCGCCTCCCCCGCGCCCCTTCTCGTGGATGGCGTGCCGGCGCCCCCCCGCTCTGCCGGCCGCCCCTTCCTCCGCGGGGCGGTGGGTGCTACCGCAGACCTCCCCGCCAAGCTGCAGCGTGCTGGGTTCGGTCAGGCCCCCCCCCCCCCCCCCCTTATACGCCCTTCCCGACGCCCTTCCCGACGCCTTTCCCGACGCCCACGGCCGACCCCGCCGACGCCCCTCCCGACGCCCTTACGCCCACGACCCCCCCCGACGCCGTTCCCGACGCCCACGCCGACCCTCCTGTCGCCGCCGTAGTTTCCGTAGGTTCGTCGCGGGTGGCCTTTCCTTCCCGGCCCCTGGCCCGGCCCTGCTGCTGCTGCTGCTGCTGCTGCTGCTGCTGCTGCTGCTCCTGCTCCTGCTCCTGCTCCTCCTCGTCTTCCCCCCCCTGCTTTCCCTCCGCTTCTGCTCGTTGCTTCCCTCCTTTTCCTTTCCTCGTGTTCCCTGCCTGCTGTTTCCGCCTGGCCCGTCTTCTGCCTGCCCGCCCGCCCCGCCGGCCCTGGCATCCCGCCTGGGCGTTCGTCGTCGTCTGCCTGCTTCTCCCCTCCTCGTCCCCTCCCGCCGGACCGCGCAGCCTGCCCGGAACCAACGTGGCGGCATGTAGAGCTTCGGCATGTGGGGCCGGATTTCCCGCGAGAGCCACATTTTGAAAGCGACCCGCCATTCATCTGTCAAGCTCTTGCCAGTGTTTAAGCTTTCGTGGGCTCCTGGGAGGTCCAGTTCAGAGGTGTCCCACGGGGACCACTATGAGACCTTTCGTGGGCTCCCGGGGGGTCCCCCCCGCGGCCTTCGAAGATCTAGCACCGAAGTCAA